AAAACCCGCGGCTGGTGAAACACATCAGGAGTGGAGCAAGTCTGAGGGGGCTGCAAAAATTGGCGGGAAACTGGGATAAAAGCTCAGTTTATGTTGGTGCAAAACTTTTTGAAAGCCATGTGTACAAAGACGCTTCTAAAAGATCAGGTAAAGCGTGTATAAGAAATGACGCATGGATTTCAAAACTGTTTTGCATCAAAGTAAGCTTACATTTTAATTCCAGTTTTTCTAGAAACTTTTTTTTTTTTTGACAGATAGAGTTAGTGAAAGAGAGACAGAAAGGTCTTCCTTCCGTTGGTTCAGCCCCCAAATGGCTGCTAGGGCCGGCGCACTGCACTGATCCGAAGCCAGGAGCCAGGTGCTTCCTCCTGGTCTCCCAAGTGGGTGCAGGGCCCAAGTACTTGGGCCATCCTCCACTGCCCGCCCAGGCCACAGCACAGAGCTGGACTGGAAGAGGAGCAACCGGGACAAAATCCGGCGCCCCAACTGGGGCTAGAACCCAGGGTGCTGGCGCCGCAGTCAGAGGATTACCCTAGTGAGCCGCGGTTCCAGCCGACATACAAGATTTGAAAAAGAACACACACACACACACACACACACACACCATAACTACAGGGCCCTATCATGGTAGCTCTCTGCTGCAGACATTCAGAGGAGCTGCACTAGAACGCGGACAGAACTACTCCAATGGCCATGGAGGCAGGAACGCTAGAGCCCCGGGAACGAGCCTTCCATGACCCACCGGAAGAATGCAGACGACCCTCACAAAGATAACGCTGCCCCACAAAAGCAAGACACACATATCCGGGAAAAATAAAACTGGGCATCAGAAGACCAGAGCAGTGGTGGAACACAGCCCAAGAGGGAGTCCTGGGTTTCAGTACGGTTCTGTTTTTACTTTCTTTTTATTATTATTATTTTTTTTTTTTTTGACAGAGTGAACAGAGAGAGAGACAGAAAGAAAGGTCTTCCTTTTGCCGTTGGTTCGCCCTCCAATGGCCGCCGCGCTGATCTGATGGCAGGAGCCAGGTGCTTATTCTGGTCTCCCATGGGGGCAGGGCCCAAGCACTTGGGCCATCCTCCACTGCACTCCCTGGCACAGCAGAGAGCTGCCTGGAAGAGGGCAACCGGGACAGAATCCGGCGCCCCGACCGGGACTAGAACCCGGTGTGCCGGTGCCGCAAGGCGGAGGATTAGCCTAGTGAGCCACGGCGCCGGCTCTGTTTTTACTTTCATCGTAACACTAGTGCCACGCGTGCTGGGTCTGTGACAGTCCCTCAGCTGTACACCTGTGAATTCCGCAGGCACACTGCAGCACAGGTCACACTTCAGTACGATTCAGAAAAGAGAGGCGGCGATGGCCTCTTCTCACTGAGGCGCCACGGGTACTTCTGGCCACAAGATGTTCTCAGGGCCGGCGGGAAAAGTTCTTGCTCACTCTCCCTCCCTCCCTCCCTCCTTCCTCTCCTCCCGTCTCCTACTCTCTCTCCCCCTCTCTCCCTCTCTTCCACACCTTCCTTCCTCCATCAACCTTCCCTGTAGGAGGGGAAAATACCCGTTTCTCAGGAACAAAACTGAAAGTCCTGAGGTGAAAACTTACGGAAGCTGCCGTGGAGAACCGCTAGGGCCCCCGCAGAAAATCACGAAGAGTTCCAGCACGTCCCCGAAAACGGCGTGGCCACCACGGGCCTGACCCTTGGCTGGGCGGGGTCTTTCCCAGCCTCGGACACCAGCTCCTGGCGGCTCCTGGCCGTTTCTTCAACGCTCAGGCTGGAACCCAGGCGCGGGAGCAGCAGGTCACGCGCCAGCAGCACTTCCGGTCACAGCGTCCCGCCGGGGAGCGCCCACGGGTGGGCGTCCAGGCGCAGCCGTTGTCCCGCGGGACGCTGCCCGCCTCCCACAACTGTGTGCAGGTGCGCTTCTGGCTGCTCGGCCCTTGGCATCCAGGGAGGCTGCAGGTGCCGGATCAAGTACTTGCGACTTGAATGCTGCAACCGACACAGCTGCCCCAGAGTTCTCGTGGTTGTCGTCCCTGGACCCAGAGGCCCTGTCCATGGCTGGGGGAAGAAATGGTGAAGAAAAAAAGTCTTCAGCCCAAAGGAGAAGCAAAATGGAGCCCCACAGACTGCCGGCCTCGGCAGCTGCCCGGGCCTTGGCCAAGGTGGGCAAATGGTGGGTTGCAGAATTTTTTGAGGAACAACCATACTATTTTCCATAGCGGTTGTACTAATTTACATTCCCACCAACAGAGTATGAGTGTTTCCCTTTCTCCACATCTCCTCCGATATATTATCTTTCTTTCTCCACATCTCCTCCGATATATTATCTTTCTCATTTTTATGGCAGCCACTCTAACAGGTGTGACATGACATCTCATGGTGGTTTTAATCTGCATTTCTCTGATGAATAGAGATGCTGAATTTGTTTTCATACACATGTTAGCTATTTGTACATCTTATTTTGACAAATTTCTAGTCAGATCTTTTGCCCATTTTTCAGCTGAGTTATTGATTTGGTACTATTTAATATGAGCACCTTATCTGTTTGATATTGACCCCTTACTAGATGTATGGTTTCAACTGTTTTCCCCTTACTCTGTTGATTGTTTTCTTGTGTGAGGTAATCCCACTTGTCTCTTTCACGTTTGTTACCTGTGCTTTGAGGTTCATATCCCAAATAATAACTGCCCAGACTAGCTTTTTCCTATGTTTCCTTCTATTAGATTTCACAGTTTCAAGTCTTACATTTATGTCCTGTGAGATAAAAGCCTGACTTCATATTTCTGCGTGTGGTTATCCAGTAGTCCCAACATCCCATATCAAAGAGACTGTCCTTTCTCAATTATGTGTTCTCGGCAATTTTTTCACAATAAATTGATCAAATAATTGAAAATGAATCTTGATGTGAATGGAAGGGGAGAGGGAGCGGGAGATGGGAGGGTGCGGGGGGAGGGAAGTTATGGGGGGGAAACCATTGTAATCCATAAACTGTACTTGGAAATCATTTTTACTTAATAAAAGTTTAAAAAAAAATAATTGATCATAAACATTCTGACTTGTTTCTGGGATCTCTATTATGTTCTATTGTGTCTATTTTTACCAGTACAATGTTTGATTACTATATCATTCTGTATATTTGAGTAGTAGTGTGATGCCTCCAGCTTTATTCTGTTTGCTCAAGATGGCTTGGGATTTAAGGTTCCTGTGGTTTCCTATGAATTTCAGGATTGTTTCTTCTTTCTATGAAAAGTGTTACTGGAATTTTGATAAGAATTTCATTGAATCTATAGATTGTTTGGGTAGGATGGACATTTAAAAAGTATTACTAATTATTCCAATCCAAAGTCATAAAATATCTTTCCATTTATTTGTGTCTTCCTCCATTTCCATTATACAAGTTTTTCACCCCCCTGATTAATTTTTTCATATTTTTGGTAGCTATTGTGCATGGAGTTTTCTTCATGCCTCTTTTGGACAGTTTGTTATCAGTGTTAGAAACTTGTCTAGTCTTTGTTGCTGATTCTTCATCCTGCAACTTTACTGAATTTATTTTTGGTGCTAACAATTGGAGGAGGAGTATTCAGTGTTTTACATGTAAGATTATTTCACATGCAAATAAGGACAATTTAACTTCTTTCTTTCTGATTTTATTGCCGTTTTATTTCTCTCTTGCCTAATTGCTCTGGCTGGGACTTCTACTACTATGTCAAATAATGATACAATTAGGCATCCTTGTCTCATTCCTCATCTTAGAGGGAAACTTTCAATGTTTCCCCATTAAGTATGATTTACCTGTGGATTGGTCATATATGGTTTTCATCGTGAAGTGGTACAGTCCTTCTTCCACTTTCACTAGCTTGTTGACAGCTTTTATCCTAAAACAATGCTGAATTCTGTCCAATGCTTTTTCTGCATCTTTCAAGGTGATAATACAGTTTTTGTCCTTAATTCTGTTAATGTGATATATCATATTTACAGACTTCCCTGTGTTGAACCATCCTTGCATCTCTGAGATAAGTCCCACTCTGTGATGACCCATGATCCTTTTCATGCACTATTGAATCCCATTTGCTAGTATTTCATTGAGAATTTTTGCAATCACATTCGTCAGGAATATTGGCCTATTTTTTCTCACTGCAGTATCCTTGTCTGGTTTTGGTTTTACAGTAATGCTGGCCTCATAAAATAAGTTTGACAGTATAGCTTCTTTTGCAATATTTTTGAAAAGTTTGAAAAGGACCGGTATGATTTCTACTATAAATTATTAGTAGAATTCAGCAATGAAGGCGTCAGGTCCTGGGCTTTCTTTGGTAAGAGAATTTTTCAATGATTTAATTTCTTTACCCATTATTTCTACTCAACTTTTCTATTCCTTCATGATTCAGTTTGGTGGGTTATATGTATCTAGGAATCTATCCGTTTTTCTGTATGGCTGTGTAATTGATAAAGTGACCTCCTATAATCCTTTGTGTATTTGTGGTATCAGTTTTAATGTTCTCTCTTTCATTTCTGATTTTATTTGAGCCCCCTTTTTCCCTGGCCTAGCTAAGGATTTGTCAAATTGTTTTGTCTTCTCAAAGAGCCAACTCTTGGTTTTATGGTCTCTCCTATTCTCTTCCTGATCCCTATGGCTTCTCTGATATTTATTATCTCCCCTCTGCTAACTTTAGGCTTAGCTGTTCTTTTCCTATTTCTAGTTATTAGAGCTATGACAACAGATTGCTTATTTGAAAACTTTCTTCTTGTAGGTATTTCTTGCTCTAAACTTCTCTCTTAGAATTGCTTTGGCTGGGGCTAGTGTTGTGGTGCAGAGGCTAACGCCCTGGCCTGGGGCGCTGGCATCCCATATAGTCACCGGTTCGGGGCCGGGCTGCTTGGCTTCCGATCTGGCTCTCTGCTGTGGCCTGGTCCTTGAACCCCTGCACCACGTGGGAGATCCGGAGGAAGTTCCTGTCTCCTGGCTTCAGATCAGCGCAGTCAGCTGGGGAGTGGGCCATCGGATGGAGACCTCTCTCTCTTTTTTAAAATTTATTTATTTATTTGACAGAGTTAGACAGTGAGAGACAGAGACAGAGAGAAAGGTCTTCCTTCCATTGATTCATCCCCAAAATGGCCACTACAGCCAGAGCTATGCCGATCTGAAGCCAGGAGCCAGGTGCTTCCTCCTGGTTTCCCATGCAGGTGCAGGGGCCCAAGCACCTGAGCCATCCTCCACTGCCCTCCCGGGCCACAGCAGAGAGTTGGACTAGAAGAGGAGTAACTGGGACCAGAACCTGGTGCCATATGGGATGCTGGTACCGCAGGTAGAGGATTAACCAAGTGAGTCACAGCGCCAGCCCCTGTATCTATCTCTATGTCTCTCTCTCTCTCTCTCTCTCTCTCTCTCTGCATCTTCTCTCTCCGTGTAACTCTTCAGATAAATAAATAAATCCTTAAAAAAAAAAAAGAATTGTTTTGGCTGCTGCCACAGATTTTGATATGTCAGTTTCCACTTCATTTGTCTCAAGATACGCTTTAATTTCTTCATTGACCCAGTGATTATTCAGGAGCATGTTGCTTCATTTGAATTTTATCTCACATGGAGATAAGAACCTGGAGTAAATACAGCTGGGGACCTTCCCCCTCTCCCCACCACAGAGTTGGAGTCATTTTTCTTTCTTTTTTTTAAAGATTTATTTATTTATTTATTTGAAAGACGGTGACAGAGAGGGAGAGACAGAAAGATCTTCCACACTCGTGCACTCCCCAAATTCTCGCAACCACTGAAGCTAGGCCTGGCGGGCCTCAAGTCAGAAGCCTGGAACTCCATCTGGGTCTCCCATGTGAGTGCAAGGTCCCTAGTGCTTGAACCATCTTCTGCTGCTTTCCCAGGTGTGTTAGCAGGAAGCTGTATCAGAAGCAGAGCATCTGGGACTCAAACCAGCACTGGGTCACAGGATGCTGGCATCACAATGGGCAGCTTTGCCTGCTGCACCACAACACCAAGCCCTGGAGTCATCTTTTCCATGAGTACCCAACAGATACATCAAAGAGCACCAATGTCCTTCACGCTGGTCTACACTGGCCAGGGCACACTTCTATAGCTCCCAACTACCCACATCAGAAAGCCTCCCTTCTGACGCCCACAGCCTCACTGATGCTTCCTAAGCCTCTTCCAAGCCAGGTCTCTTCTCAGCAGCAACCCCTACCGAGAGGCAGCTGAGCCTAGCGAAAACAGCACACCTGGGTTAAGGGAGCCCAGTTTGAATGCAGCTCTCCTCAGCAGCTGCAGGACCTCCGTCAGGTTATCCAACTTCCACAAGTCTCTGTTTCCTGAACTCTAAAGCAAGCTGACCACACCCAGTGCCACGAGGAATCAGAGGTCACCCAGGTGAAGAGCTGCCCAGAATATCTACACAGTGCGCTGGAACTGTCCGTTTTATTATGACCGCATTGTCTCATTGTGTTGGCCTTGCATTTCCATGAACTCCTCTCTTCCCTCAGCTTTCTGTTGCCCCCAAGTTACCCCTCACCCCTGTCTCCATATTTCCAAGTCATCTTCTCCTATGGAATGAATTGTGCCCCTCACTCACAAACTCATACATTGGAGTCTCAACCTCCAGTATAACTGCATTTGAAGATAGGGTCTTTATAGAGGTATTGGTGGCTAAATAAGGTCATAGATATGGGGCCCTGCTCATATAGGATTAGTGTCCTTAAAAGAAAAGATATCAGAGAGCTTATATTGTTTCTCTCTCCTTTGCTCACACACATGAAGGAAAAGATATCTGAAGAAAAATGATTCATATAGAAATCTAGATTTACACAAAGGACCAAAAGCACTGAAATAGTAACTGTGTGGGGAAATACAAAAAACAAAACAAGTGTCAACAAATTTTCAAGTATTTAAGTCATACAGAATGAATTCTGTGATTACCATGCCATCAGATTAGCAATCAACAATAGAAAGATATCTGGAACATCACCAAATTTTTGGAATCTAAATAACACCTTCTGAGTAACCCATTGGTCAAAGAATACATCAAAAGGGAAATTAGAAGGTATTTTAATGAATTAAAACAATTTAAGAAAAAAAAAAAACTCACCAAAATTTGTGGAATTCAATGAAAGCTGCAAGATGAGGCAGCTATTCCATTCTTCAATATTTACCCCCGAAAATATTAAAAGCTTTCTGTTGGGGCTGGCACTGTGGCACAGCAAGTTAACGCCCTGGCCTGAAGCACCAGCATCCCAAATGGGTGCCGGTTCTAGTCCCAGCTGCTCCACTTCTGATCCAGCTCTCTGCTATGGCCTGGGATAGCAGTAGAGGATGGCCCAAGTCCATGGGCCCCTGCACCCATGTGGGAGACCAGGAAGAAGCTCCTGGCTCCTGGCTTCAGATTGGCACAGCTCTGGCCGTTGCGGCCATCTGGGGAGTCAACCAACAGAAGGAAGATATCTCTCTCTCTCTGTCTCTCTCTCTGTCTCTGTCTCTGTCTCTACCTCTCTCTGTAACTCTTTCAAATAAATAAAATATATCTTTTTTAAAAAGCTTGTATCTATTTAAATATTTGGACATACTGAATGATTCTATTAGTAGAAAATTCTAGAAATTCAAATTAATGTATAATGATAGAAAGTAGACTAGTGGCTGCCCCGAGAGATGTGAGTAGTGGGACGGAGCACAAAGAAAGTTTGCCAAAGGGCACAAGGAAATTTTGGGAGACATGGAGATGTTCACATCCTCAGGATTCTGGTGATTGCTGGGTGTATTTTATATATGGATATTGATGTAATTGCTTCTGTCCAATGAGCATACCATCTCTTCATGTCCTTTGTTGTCCAGTATACCATTTTACATCCCCTCCAATAAGAAAAAGGTAGCAGCACTGTTATCATTCAGGAGCCACGGCTATTGACCTTGGAAACTGATTTAGTGAAATAACATAGATATTTTGCCTCTCAAGTTATTTGATATTAGTGACATCATTACTCATGTGTGACCATTACATCATCTATCATACACATCATCCATGAACTCTGGCTTCCAGTGGCATTCTTAGAGGTCATTATTTGTTTCATTGATGATGTCCACACAATGCAATTCTTAATCATAGTGCACAGGAAAACGTGGGAGATAGCTCATTTTCTGTTGGTGTTAAATTTAGTATTTGGTGTTTTTATAGCATCTGAAGCAGAACAGCACATGTCCCTACCATGTCCTCTATTGAACTCTAGGCTATAATTGCTGCATTCCTCAAATGGTACCTCTATCATTACTGATAACACACCTGCCTTCCATACGCCATCTCCAGCAGGGAGGTAGGGTAGAGGTAAAAGAGCCCATCCTCACAAGGAATTTCTGTCCTCCATTCTGCATGACTTAAGACCAGTCCATGGGGCCAGCACTGTGGCATAGCAGGTTAAGCCTCCACCAGCCGTGCTATCATCCCATATAGGCACCATTTCATGTTCCCACTGCTTCTCTTTCCAATCCAGCTCTCTGCTATGGCCTGAGAAAGCAATAGAAGATGACCCCAGTGCTTGGGCCCCCTGCACCCTCATGGGAGACCCAGAGAAATCATCTCCTGGCTCCTGGCTTCAGACCTACTCAACTCTGGCCATTGTGGCCATATGAGGAGTGAACCAGCAGATGGAAGACCTTTCTCTCTGTCTATCCTTCTCTCTCTAACTCTGCCTCTCAAAAAAATTAATAAAATCTTTTAAAACAGAAAAAGAAAAAGACCAGCACATGAGAGCACTACATCACCACTGAATCAACAGCAAGAAACGGCCTCTGTTGGAGCTCATTGCACTGTAGAGCAATAGTCTTGAAAGTCCTCTGAGAATACAGGTGCAGCCAGGGACCACCATATACTTGGCACAGAGTCTGCAGAGGGGCTGGGGAGACCACCTGGTAACCAGAGATAAGGGGGTTGGGGGAAGCACAGGATAAAGGAACCTGGTCACCACCTTTGCTACCTTTTGGTGCTGTGGACCAGAGACAGCACTGCAGTTGGGGAGTGTGTGATGACACACCGATCTACCCACACACAGGGCAAACACCAGAGTCAGCAGCGAGCGAGCTGTCAGTATCCAAAATTCTGAATATATTTTATATCTAAGAATCACCCCAAATCAACATGTTTGCACCATTTTGGTGTCCCAAGGTCACACAAACAAGCACCATGCTAGCGACCCAGAGTGACCCATTTGCCTCTGGAATCCAGTGCTGGTCAGTGGGTCCAGGATGATGCCATACATGCCTCGTAGAGGTAAGAGTCCCCAGGGCATCTGGTTGAGCCCACATACTTGATAGAATCTTGGCAAGTACCCCAAAAGGAGAAACGGGAACAGAGACCACCACATACGCCACTGGCGTGCTGATCTTCCCACCAAAATGGCTGCCACCCCTCACCCTGCTGGTCTCAGACTCTGGACAGAGACAGAGGAAATCTCCAGGGATGTTTTTCCAGCAACTGGAACCCACCTGGAACCAGATGTGGATGCAGGCTGCCCTGATACCCCTGACTGGTCACAGCCCACAGGGTGGGACACAGATGATTTTCCAGGAAGGCCCTCCTGACCACTGGGGCCTCTGAAGCAGAAAGGCCAGGACAGGAGCCCTGTTTCTCAGGGAAGCAGAGAAGGGGAGGCTGCTCCCTGCCTGAGTGAGGGAGAGCCTGCAAGCTGAGAGAGAAATGGATGTGCTTCTTTACACCGCTGAGATCCCAGGGTATTGTTGCTGTAGCAACCGAGCTCACCCTGAGTGAGGCAGAGGATGATGGCCGGGCACTGGCACCAAACCAGCAGTACAGGTGGCAGTGGGTGATGCAACAGGAAGACGTGTGGGGAGGGGTCAGCACCAACATGCCTCCTGCTGTTGGCAATGATTAAGAATCTCATCATTGAGAGTGTTTGGGTTAGCCCAGCCCAGATTCCTATTTGGGTTCTCTTTTATTTGACAGGACCACAAGGGGATGAGCTGTTTCATAGGACAGGAATTGTACCCTCCACTGAAGTCATCCCCTGGAGGATGGACATCAGGGGTGGGAACTGAGAAGCAGGAAGCTGCCCCTCCATCTGAGCACACTGCTGCCCATGTCAGCTTCTCCCTCACGCTGCAGCCCTGCCCTCTGCCCCAGCAGCCTCCTGAGCCTCCCCTGCTGACTCCCCAAGAGGTCCTTCCATGACAGCCCCAGGACACAGAGGCTGACCCATGACCCACAGCTCATTCCCTCTAGGAGGCCTCCACTTGTGGGAGGAGCCTTGCCCTTCCTCACCCAGCTCGCTGCTGTGGATGACAGGTCTTCAACAGTTCATGGAAAATGTACGTATGATTAACAAACTATGCATGGATTTCAAAAAGCTTTGCACCCAAATAGACAGCTTTTAATTACATTCTCCCATGAACCCTTGCATTTCAAATCCTTGAATTTTATTCCAAGGGAACTACATTGAATTGGCCTTCATGGCCATTTAAATGTAGTGCCATTGATATAATAAAATATTGGCAGAAAAAAGAGGAACTGAATCTCCCTTGTGAGACCAGCATCATGGCACAGCATGTTATGCCACTGCTTGCAACCCTGGTACTCCATATTGGAGTCTGGTCTCAGTCCCACCTGATATGCTTCTGATCCAGCTCCCTACTAATGTGCTTGGGAAGGCAGTGGAAGATGGTCCAAGTGCTTGTGCCCCGCCACTCATGTGAGAAACCCGAGTGGAGTTCCTAGTTCCTGGCTTCTGTCTGTCCCAGTCTTGGCTGTTTCGACAATTTGGGGAGTGAATCAGCAGAAAGAAGATATTCTCTCTCTCTCTCTCTCTCTCTCTCTCTCTCTCTCATACTCTGTGACTCTGCCTTGCAAATAAATAAAACTTTTTTAAAACAAAATCTCATTCATCACTGGGGCCACCTTCTCTTCCAGGTTCGCCCATAGACAGAGTCCGTAAACCACAGGGAGGCCTCCAGCCACAACAGGGTTGCTGCTGACAACTCCATGGCTTTCTAAGTACTGCCGTGGCTCCCGCCTGCAGCCTGGGCAGTACTGGTTCTGAACAAACCACACTGCTAACAGTCAGCAGGCCAGAACCAACCTGACCTCCAGGTTGTGGGCCTGGCCTGGGAGTTGGAGGACAAGAGCTAGAGGGCAGCCCTGGCAGAGGGGTTGAGAAATCAGCTTCCCAACAGCTCCTGCGGACAGTGAGGGGAGCATGGGACCAGGGCCCCAGGCTTGCAGGGAAGATGTCCTGGCAGAGACCCTTCCAGTGAAAGCATGGGCGTCTCCCAAAATGGTGGGATCCACGGACCTGACCCGACTCCTGAGTGGGTCAGTCTGGGACTGGGAATGTTATGGGCTGGGTCTGGGCCTAAATTAATTTTCCAGACTCTTGCCTTTAACTTAGAGAAGAATTCTAAATACAGGCCCAAACACAGCCTGCAGTGTGGTAAACTTTAGTTACAAAGTGAGAAAAATACACAGGCCCATTAGGGCTTTATTAATGGAGAATGGGCTAAGGGAAGGGAATCATCATACCCTGCTCTGCTTGTCCTGAGTCTATGAGGAGAGAGCGCTTCCGTCCTTCCTCACTTTTTATGAGCTTTCGAAAAAATGGAAGTGCTTTACATGGTACCACCCCGATGTCCTGGATAAGAGGCTGGTACTTCCTGGGGAGGGGCCCCCTGATTGACAGGTGAACAGGGCAATACAGCCTTGGTCTTGGCCTTGACTCAACACCCTTCTGATAGACAGCTGTGTGTACAAGGGCAGAGAAGGGAGCTGGCGAAGAAAGACACAGCATGGGCCCCTGGCATCTCTCCCCTCAAGCAAATGCTTAGGAAAGCCTGCAGGCTGAGCTGCTGCCAGGGTAGGAGCTGATGACAAACAGCTGGCTAGGGCAGGAGCTCAGGTCACAGGGCCACTGTCTCCAAAGGGACACTCAGAACAGCCTCTCCCACAGGCACACCCTGGGCAAACACACAGAGCCAACCTCGCATCCCCTGCTGGCAGTGCTGGGTGTGGAGCCCCAGACACCTGGGCTCCAGGCCCAAGCAGTATGACCCTCAGTGCATTACCTGGCCCTGGGCCTGATTCTTGGTCGGCAGATCAGAGATAAAATGCCACACCCAGGGACCTGAGGAGGAGTAAATAGGATAGCCCAGACAAGGGTCCATGCTACACGCTGTGCCCTTCCCTCTGTCCCCTCCCACCACGACAGCAGAGACCACACCCCTTTCTCTTCCCTCCTGAAGGTACCATGGAGCCAGATTTGCAGGTAGCATCTGGGCCCATGCACCTTGTCAACCTCACCCCTCCTACATCACAACCTGGAAAAGAGCAGTCTCCTTTTTCCCTCTCTCTGGCCACCTCTGCATGTACAAAGCACTTAGCACCAGGAGAAATTGTGATTTTTCTCCTGTTCTGTCGAGGTGACCCACTTTGGGCCATTAAAAAGATACTTACTTTTAAAATATATTTGACAGCACAGAAGACGTATTTGAGAAATCAGAGAGCCGAGAACAGTATGAGACATTTAGAATATACAGTGTGGTGATATATTTCTGAAATGTGCAATAATACCTTATAAATTTATATCACATACATGGCACCACATACTTGGCACTGAGAGATTTGTATTATCTTCCCTCTGTGCATTCCAAGTTTCTAGATGATTTCCCTACTGGAACTTCTCCTTTACTATGGGGCCCTGGCCACTTCAGGAAAAAGTGAAAAAAATCAGGACTGCAGAGTTCAACCCTTGAGTTGTCCCACCAAACAGCTCCACAGGAACCCAGAGGGAGCCTGACACAAAGGGGCAGGTGCTCTGGATTGCAACCACTGGTTCCATGGCACCCTTGCCAGAGCCCTGCCCTCTTCGCTTGGGCCCTGGGGAAAACACAGGCCCCACTTGTGGTGACTTTTGATAAAGCCAGGACTGAGGACCCTGACCCCCTGCCACAGCAGAGCCACTTGGGGTTGGCTGGCAGGCTTCTGTGACATCACAGTCACTGAGGATGCACACTCTGGGCTGTGAGGTGACAAGCGACCAATAGTGCGTCTACTGCCCAACTGACCAGGTGTTGGTAGCATAGGCAGGAGGCACATTTGGCAGAATCCAATGGATTCACGATGGAGGTGAGTGGGATTTGCTCTTGGGGAAGGTCCTGCCCAGGTGGGTGACACTGGTCTCCCACGCTGGGTCCCATGGGTGATGTGGCTGTGCCTGTGTGTGAACACCACAGGAGCAGAGCCCTTGGCCCTGGGACTCAGAGTAATTCTCAAGGAAGGGCTGGAGCAGCGGGCTGGAGGGGTCTGGTCTGTGTACTGAGGTCACGTGCTGTGGGTGGGAAGGGCCCTAGCACGCAGGCTCACCTTGCGCTCCCTAAGCACCACTGTCAGAGGTGATCTCTGCGGCCATGTAGCCACAGCTCTCAGCCGTGCCCGCGGGCCCATGGCTCACTTGAAACGCAGGAGCGGCTCCAGAGCGCCCTGTAAGAAGTGGCAGCTAATTCGCAGACTCAGTGTTTCCCTGCACCTGCCAATCTCCTGTCTCTCAGGACACAAATGAGTCCCGTGCCCTCTCTTGAGGTTGACTGGAGGGACTCGAAGTCCTGCCGGACTCCCAGATGCCCTGAGCAGTGCTGCTGAGCTGGCCTCTGCCTTTACTCCTAGCTACCCCTAAAAGAGAACTCAGTGCCTGGGTGTTTAGGTGGCACAGGAAGCCAGAGTGGGCTTTCAGGAGACCTCAGCTGAAATCTGGAATGAGGAGCACCTGATACTCTGGGAAGAGGCTTTCTCAGAAACCCTTCAAGCACATTGGAGGGCACTTTGCTGAAGTTGGAGGGAAGTCCTGGCCCACTCTGTGTGGCAATAGCAAAATACCTGAAGCTGCGTTGCTTAGAAAATGAAAGTTCACTTTAGCTTGTGGCTTGACCAGCCCGAGAGTGTGGCACGGGCACCAGCTTCTGGTGAGGGCCTCATGGCAGACGGCATTACCCAGCAGGAGCCCAAGTGAGATGGGGCTGGAGGAGGACAAGACCTGTCCCTGATAGCAACCCCAGGGCAGGCATAGTGGGGAAGATACCACTGGGACACCTTCATCCCATACCGTACCACCCGGGATCCATCCCCAGCCTCGGCTCCTGAGTCTGACTCGAGAGCAAAACATCACCCCGAGTGGAGAAAAATGCAATCTGGAGACCACTAACCCTAGGGAATCTGGAGAATGAACTCAGGCAGAGAAAGGAAACCCATAGGCATCTTCCATACAATTAAGAATATTTGACTGCTGAAGCTGGGTGATCCCCACTCATCATTCATTGTGTTATTTTACAGCACTTTGTGAATCTCCAAAAGAATGTACAATGATATTTAAAAGAGGAGAAGCTGAGTGGGGAGGGGAATAACAGAATCAGTTAAAACCCAAGTCTTGCTGGACAGCATCTCTGCACATGACACAGCTGTGTACTCGTTCCCACCCGCAGAGGAGGCCAGCAGGTGTATTGGTGACCAGGGCCCTGGACACTGTGGTCCCCATGCCAGGGCAAGGGAAGTGGGCAGAGAGGCAGAACAACAGGCCCTTGAGGGAAAAGAACCGACTGTGGCCCCAAGGTGGCAGCCTAGGGGCAGTGTGGGGCCCAGGACCAAGGAGGTGCTGGGGGAGGGCTGAGTCGCTTTCCCTGCAGGGAGCAACCTGGTGATCAGCACCCTGGGGAGCTGCGGGCCTGTGGCTGCTCCTGCCCGACATGTGCTGTCCCTGTCCTTATGGTCAGCAGCAGCCCGGTGTTACCAGCATGCGGCTCAGGAGCTGGTGCCCAGGAGTTCTCAGCACTCTGTGCCTGAAGCCCTGGTCAGTGTCAGGACAGGGCCCTGGTTCCCGCTCTGGACAGTCTGGGCCATGCCAGCTTGAGGTCCTATGCAGGTGGTGCTCAGCGGGCGGCTCCCCTGCCCTCCATCCCAGGAGGACCCCCTGTGTCCACCTCCTAAAACTCCTGGGAAGAGGGGCTGGAACAGAGCAGGAGGGGTCAGCAGGGGTTGGGAGTGCTGGGGTCAGGCCTGTGGTAGGACAGCAGGCTGCAACCCTGGGAGTCTCCGTTCAGGTCATTCAGGGGCAGCCCCGAGTGTGGGAACTTCAGGAAGAAGGACTGGCCATGATGGGGCACCCTGTTCCACCTTGTGTTCAAATAAAGAGGACTTCACAGTTGGGCTGTAATAAAATGGCAGAGGAAGAAATGAGGGGCAGGAGGTGCAGGTTGCCTGGGACTTGGGACCGTCACGGCAGGTGGCAGAGGGCCCTGACACCCCTGGTTCTGGGGCAGTTCTGCCAGAGCCCTGCCCTCTTCACCTGGGCCCTGGGGAGAACACAGGCCCCACTTCTGGTGACCTTTAATTAAGCTAGGGCTGAGAACCCTGACCCCTGCCACAGCAGAGCCACTTGGGATTGGCTGGCAGGATTCTGTGACATCACAGTCACTGAGAATTGTGCACTCTTGGTTGTCGGCAACCAGTGGCCAGTCGTGCATCTACTGCCCAACTGACCAGATGTTGGTAGCGTAGGCAGGAAGCACATTTCATAGAATCTAATGGATACTCGAAGGAGGTGAGTGAGACTTGCTCTCTGCGTGACCTGTGACGCAGGGAAGGTCATGCCAGGTGGGTGGCACTGGTCTCCCACGCCAGGTTCCATGAGTGTTGTGGCTGAGCTCTCAGCGGCCCCTGTGTGCAGAGTGTGTATATAGTCGTCTCATTCCTCCCACTCTGCTGGGCATCAGTGTAAAATGGGCCTTGGTGTGAGTCTGTGTCTGGACATGGGTTCAAGACTAGGTGTTGGATCAGCTGGTGTCAGGTGGGGCAGTGAGTCCACCTCTGAGAGCCCTAGAGATTCGGGGGCTGGGAGCGGGCCAGGGAGACTTGGGCTCCCTGGAAGACACGTGGATGCCAGGCTGGGGGAGGAGCATCCTTTCCCAGGGCAGGGGAGGCAAGGTGGGGGCTGTCCTTCCCCAACCATCCCTAGTCCCTGTGCTCTGAACAAGTCATCCTCCTGGGACCCGACCACCAGGTGCCCGCCCACCTGGCTGTGTGGCTGTCCCCACTCTGACCACGGGGACAGACCTCGGGGCAGCAGTTCCCGTGGGCTCCCCTGTACTGGATCACATGTGTGTGTGTGTCTTACAGATTGGATATGGACGCCCTGAGGTCCGGCAGGGCCCAGGAGCGAGCAGGGATCATCTTGAAATATGAGCAGGTACGGGCCAGGGTGCTGGGAGAGGAGGTAGGACCCTGCCTCAAGTACTGTGCTTATGAGAGCCAGACCCCACCTCCTTGGGGACACAGCGGGAGGGTGGCTCAGCTTCCCCCAGTGACTGAGACCCGGGATTCTCACCTGGGTCCCCTCTCCCCTGCAGGGTCCCCGTAAAGGGCCCCAGTTTCACCTGGGAGAAGAGGACGACGAGAGTGGAGCCCTCGTCCCAGACAAACTTGGCTTCCTGTGGTGAGTCCTCTGCACCCCGATCCACCCAGGGGAGGGACCAGGGTCAGAAACCCCGCCATTAGGTAGCACACCTATCCCCAGGCCCCCTCCTTGATCCAAGCTGTTGTCACAGTGCAGGCACAGGTCAGTATACGGGCAGAGCCGAGTGACCCTGTGACTCAAGAATGCAGGATGGGAAAGGGCTGGCTGTAGGGTAGACACTGGCACTCTTACTCTGAGGCCTCTGTTCATGCTAAGTAGAGGTGGTGGCTTGAGGGACATAGCCTGGCCATCGTCACCCCATAGCTGTGTCCACAGGGTTGGGGCACCAGCCTAGCAGGTGGGCAGTTGTCCAACAGGGGCCTGAGCCTCAGGGCTAGGCTAAAGGCTTATTAAGACCTAGTCTGAGAGATGGCCAGCAGTGTGGCCTCTGCAGCTCTCAGCCTGCCTGCAGGCTCCCACAGTACAGACCACAGGGAAGGTGCAGCTGAGGGCCCGGCCCGGGGTCTGTGCTGGGAGGAGTGGGGCCTGCGGGCAGGAGTCAGATTGGAGGCTGTTCCAACAGATGTCAGGGAGAGCAGCCCCATGTCTGGAGGGTAGGCTCCGGTGATCTAGAGGGATGAGCCATCTCGGGCCGTCTTTGGCATGACTCAGCAGCCCACCTTAGCACGGGATAGGGGGTTCTGGCTCCATGTTGTGCCCAGAACCTGGAGAAAAAGCAGGAGCCAAGGGTAGAGAGATGGCCACGGTCTGGGCTAACAGAGGAGGGTGAGGTGGGGAGCAGACACCTCAGGTGGCCAGTGCATAGTGGGGAGGCTGGGTGGGGGATAACCTTGGGGGTGTGGTGGTCCCAGGTGCCTCGAGCCCCAGCCCCTGCTGGGTGTCTGCCTGCAGCATGGCTGCCCCCTCCCTGCCCTTCTCTGTGCTCTGGGCTGTGCCTCAGCAGGGTGAGGAGGACACAGGTCTTCTCCCAGCCTTGCTGGGGAAGTGGACCATGCTTGGTTCAGTGCCCATTCTCATGGTGTTGTCTCTCTTGCTTTTCAGTAAGCAGAAGCCGCCCAGGCATGGATGCCTGGCAGTGCAATGGGTAAGCTGACCTTGGCCATGGACTCTTCAACTAGGAGGCAGAACTAGCAGGCCTGTGGGTATGGGCAGTGGTTAGAGGAGTGCCATATGGTCCTCCAGGGACAGCAGTCCCCAGGGGATCTGTTGAGGCCCACATACCCCAGTGCAGGCCTGCAGCTCTGGGTCCCTGCCTGTGGGCCACTGTGACCCACTTTCCTGGATGAGATGGGACTGGCTTGAGGATGCTTGTCCTTTTATTTATACTCAAGACCCTGAGGCTCCCCTAGTTGGAAGGTCTGGGTGCCGTGGTCTGCCCCTTTGCTGGCTCCTCCCAGCTGAGTTGTCCACAGGCTCCTGAGCTGCACCCGTGGCCTCCCTCAGAGGACACTGCTGAGCTCACGCCATCCTGTCTCCATTCCCAGCGTAAACATCAGGAGGGCCGCCGACTGCAAAAATGGAACAAGATGCTGCGAAATTTCACCAAGTACCGCAGCAGTGAGAAGGTGCCTGGACCTGAGGGCCCCTGGGGACCACTGGGGGCGGAGTTGGGATGGACGGTGCCCATCGCTGTGCCTCTCAGACACAACTGTCCTGCCCTGAAAGGACACAGGTCATCTCAGCACCACGCCCGTGCACCCAGGACACTGTCGCAGTAGAAGATCCAAAGTCTCCCCGAGGGCCACTCCCAGATGCAGGGCAGGCACAGTTCCTGGTGCCCTGTGTGGGCAGTGAGTGCACCACAGAGCCTGCACTGAGCCCTCGGCCCTCCTCTCACTGTTGGGTCAGGAGGCCCAGGTCCAGGCAGATCTGGGGACACAGCACAGAGCCCAGGGCTCCCCTTCCTGCTGTCTCACCCTACGCTCCCCCCAAACAGAGGGCCTGGGGCGGGTCTCACCAGAGCCTCCTCTCTCCTGTAGTTCCACCGGAGAATTGAGAAAGGCATCCCCGCCCAGGTGCGCGGCAAGGTGTGGGCCATGATGCTCTCCGTGGATACCCTGAAGGCCCAGAACCCTGGCAAATTTGAGGTATGGCTCTGTGTGCAATCTGAGGCAGGCCGACCCGCTCGGGCCTGCTCAGGAGCGCAAGGCTCCCGTGTGGTGGACAAGTAATGCCAAGGAGGAGTGGTCATTTGGTTGGGGCCCCCACCCGGCCCTCCCCTCTGCCTCATCCAGGTCTCCCCAGAGGCCTCCTCCATGTCTCCCCACACACAAATGGGCCTGGACACAAGGATCCGGTCAGGGCCACAGCCTTCATCCCTGTGGTCCTGCCTTGCCTCTAGGCCCAGGACTGCCCAGTGCCATTGTGCTGGGTCCTGAATGGATAGAGAATGCCTGGAATGAGGTGGAAGTCCTGTGTGCTAGGGCCCTCAGCTGGCTCTGTCCCTAACGGCCCTCCCCACACCTGACCCTGCTTGTGTGTTTCTTATGCTCGCCGGGCCCTGCCCTCACCTGGGCCTTCTCATGCCTGGCCTGGCCTCAGCTCACCCAGCCCCCACCTGGCCTGCTGGTTCCATCCGTCAGAGTCAGCTCTCAACTGCTTCTGGGAATGAGGGCTGATCCATCAGAGGGCTGGCCCTGGGTTGACTGTCACCTCCCTGGCTGACATCAGGGAGCAAGGAGCAACTGAGCCGCCAGCCCCGCCCTCCCCCAAGTCTTCAAGTGGGGGCTGTCCCTAGGGCCAGCTCCAAGTCCAAGAAGGGTGTCCACTCTCTTGATGGAGCTGGGGCTCTCCTGCAGGGGGCAGCCCTGAAGGCTGGTCAGGGTGAGGCTGACTCCTGTCCTGTGGGGCCTGAGAGCCCAGTGAGGAGGTTCGGAGGCCTGATTCAGTCTCTCCTGCTCTGGGAAGGCAGAGGTAGCACAGAAGGACATTGGCAGAGCCCCTGGCCTCAGGCTGACTGTAGCGGGTCCACAGTGGCCCCTCTGCTGGGCACCGGGGGTGGCGTGGACAATAAGGTGAGTGGGGAACCCATGACCCTCCCTGGATCAGGGAAATGAGCTTCCCTCAAGGAGAACTCTCCCTGCCAACCAGAAGAGCTGATGTGGCTTTGGGGTGCTTGTGTGGCAGTGGGGGTTGGCTCGTCCTGAGGCCGGACCCTCCCCCTCGGCCCTGCCCTGCAGGAGATGAAGGAACGGGCCAGGTTGTGCTCAGATCAAGTCCAACAGATCGATGAAGAGGTAGCACACACATTCAGAAGTCACATCATGTTTCGAGAGCGATACGGAGCTAAGTGAGGCCTCTGGGCTGGAGGGGCCCTGGGCGAGGGAGGTGCAAGGGTCCTGGGACACATGGGGTCCTAGGAGAGACGTGGGCTCACACCTAAAGCATAATTGCTCTAGGACAGAAAAAAATGGATCCATGGCCTTCTATTTATACTGAACAGTTTGCTTTCCCAAAGACACTTTGGTGGGAATGAAATGAAAAGGAACACAAGGGGATACAGTATTTACAAAATACAAAAAATGAAGTTATACATAATAAGAAAGCAAATGAGGGTTCCCTGCCCTGACATGGGCCAAGGCTCAGGAGGGCCCCTTCATGACTGCACACACAACTCTCCTACTCAACGCATGAAAACACGCTTAGCACCTAAACCACAACGGGGCACCAGCGCACAGCTGTGAGAATGGGGGAACTAAGACCACTGAACGCCGGGTACCGGGGAGAACGTGAGGCGAGCGCCACTCTGGTTCGTTGCAGGAACAGAGCACAGTGGCCCAGACCCCCAGCAGCACCCAGGGCCATTTCTCACAATGAGAGACACACACCTTCCACACGAACCCCCAGCACACACGCACATTTACACATCCACCAGAACAGCTGAGTGCATAAAACCCTCATGCAAGATTCAGGGTTGTGTTTGCAGTCACTGGACGCGGGAGTAGCCTGCACGATGCTCAGTGGGGACATGGATAAGGAACCCGTGTCACAGCTGAATCCGAGAACGGGATTCAGTGAGAGGCAGGACGAGACTCGGCCCTGGGCTCACCTGGATGCATCTCAGGTGCATCCTGCTAAGAGAGGACGCATCCCTCAAAGGCTACACGTGCTGTGATCCACTCACAGGACATCTGCAAGAGGCCAAACCCTGGGACACACAACAGGGCAGTGGTGGCCACGGGCTGGGGGAGGTGGGGAGTTTGGCCACTGAGGCTCATGGGGAACACATAGGCCACAGGAGCTGCTCCCTACCAGGCTGAACGTGCATGGGAGGCTGACTCTCCATGGCTTAGACCCACGGGACTGCACCTCCCACAGTGGGACGCTCACCTGTGCAATGAACACCCACCTGGGGAAACGAAACTGCACATGACTGCACCCCGAGAGGTGTGCGTGTCCCTGCAGGCAGTGCTCACCCACATGGTGGACCACACGCAGGTGCCCTGATGACGTCACTGCTCATGAGCAGAGTGTCACGGGCGCTGCGTGTGGCTGTCAGGCTCTGTTAGGCAGAGCCACACTGAGAGCCTCGGCAGCACAGGACACACAGCCTCTGTCCTCTCTCTTCCAGACAACGCTCCTTATTTGAGGTGCTCCTCGCATACTCAATGTACAACCCCGTGAGTATTCTGCGATAACGTTCCAAGGTCATATCCAGAGCTGTCCATGCAGGGCGCCCCTGGTCACAGAAATCCTAGCCTGGGTTGAGGGGGCCTCTAATCCACAAGGCAGAGACTGAGGGGTAGAGTTCAAGCTCATGGCCTCCTTGGCCCCAACCTCAAGTTCTGGGGCAGAACGGAAGCCTTCTCCTGGGCTGGGCTCTGTTCTGGCCCAGGCAGGCCTTACTATGGTGCTTCTTCCTCACGTCTGCAGTGGGGCCCAGCAGGGCACCTGTGCAGCAGAGAGCTCCAGAGGCCATCACGGGTGTGCAGTCTGCACTCCCACAACAGTCTTCCCCTTCCTGACATCTGGGGTGGGGCTCATACCTCTTCTTAACCCTGCACAGCCTGCGCTCAGACCCTGCAGCATTCTCTCCAGGAACTTTGAGAGCTGGTGTGTGCTCCAGTCCCTGAGATCCTGACACCCAAGGGGCAGCAGTGGGGCCTGGTAGTAATGCTCAGCTCTCCCAGGAGAGGTCACCCTTGCCACGTGAGATCATCCCAGCCAGGGAGGTCCCTCTGATGTGTTTTGTGTTCTTCCAGGAATTGGGCTACAGCCAGGGCCTAAGCCACGTGGCAGCCCTGCTGCTGATGTGGCTGAGTGAAGAGGATGCTTTCTGGGCCCTAGTCCAGCTCATGGGGGACAGCCAGCACGCGATGCATGGTGGGTGATGGGTGTGGTGGGCGTGGTCCTGCAAGTGCAGGGATGGGCATGCAGACAAGTGACTGGGACATTGTCCCTCACTGGCTGCTGCTTGCATAGGGCGGTCTCCCTCAGAATGCTTTCTTAGAAGCCAGGGCCGGCAAAGGGCCCAATACCAAGCCATACCCCTCACTTCCCATCACACAAAGGTCCTGTGCCTTGTCTTTGACAAATGACCCTTAGGTCTCTACTGGCCTTACTGCTTCACGTCTCTACTCAGACTCCCACCCAGTGAGCCACACACTTACAGAAGAAGCATCCATTCTAGGGTGACCCCTCCTCACCCTGAGTGTCCAGATGGCCCTGAGGCATCCAGTGTGAGTGCAGTCAGCCCAGAGGTCACCTTAGGCAGCCTGCCCTGGGCTGTCAGCTGTACCCCCTTTCCCCTGAGGCTCCCCTGCCTGTTAGAGCTTTCCCTGACCCTCCATGTTCAGAAAGAACCTGCCCCAAGCCTTTGGCTTTCCGGCCTTCCCAGGAAGACACTCTGAAGTGAGGACTGGGGGGGTTGCTATTACTCAGATTTCTACACACCAGACTCCCCAAAACTGGAGCAATTCCAGCACCAACTGGGAGCTATCATGCGTCGCGTGCTCCCCTCCCTGGAGAAACACCTGGTAAGTAAACATCCCCTTTCTCCCCTCGGGGCCTCTGTGCTCAGGGAGGGGAGGACAGAGAGGGGTCCTGATTGCTTCCTGGGCCAGGGGAGGCTACGTCCTCACCAAGACTTTTCTTGGTTACTGGGGGCCGCGACAGCTTGGGTGTTGGTGTGTTTTCCAGCACTTGTTCCCCCAGAGTTTGTGTAGATTTAAGGGAGATGCTGTCCCCAGGGTAGAGTGGACTGAGGGACCTGTGTCCCTTCAGGAATCTGCATGGCTGGGAGAGGGGATGCACCTGCTGCAGGGTTCCTGCACCCAGGGGTTCTGCCACAGGGCACAGATTAGAGGGAGTCAGGCCTGGGTCCTGGGCCCTGAGCCCCCTCTGCCTCTTCTTAGGAGAAGGAGGGTGTGTGCCTGGAGGACTACACCGCACACTGGTACATCCAGTGCTTCCTGGATGGGGTAAGTGCACCGGGGACCCCTTCCCAGGGAAGCTCCAGCCCCAGTGCCTGGCTTTCTTGTACTGGTGGCCTGTGACTCTGAGCTCCCCTAGCCCCAACAGACACAGGAGGGAGTCTGCTGTGCAGACCAGGAAGGCCCTGCTCTGCTGAGGGTGGTCCAAGCTGAGGCTGAGCCTCAGGGACAGCAAGGAGGGGACAGGTCCCACCAGGACCCATCCTGAGAGCCTGGCAAAGGCCAGAGCCCTACAGTGAGAGGCAGGAGATCCATAGACCCTGGGTGCCACAGGCTGGTTTCAGCACAGCCCAAGGGCTGACCCCTCCCCCAGGTGCCTGGGCTGTCTGGCATCTCCAGGGTGGCTTCCAAAGTGTGCAGAGCAGTCCGCGTGGCCCCAGGGTCCTGGATAGGCCTTGGTGCTCTTTCTCTCTGGGCTTCTAGGACACAGCTAGGATGCCCTATGACACTGCACTCCCACCCACTGTGGGCCCTGCTGAGGCCCTGACGCGCGGGGTCCTCCAATGCCTCTGTCCCCCAGGTGCCGTTCCCCCTGGCACTTCGGATGTTCGACATTTACATCCTTGAGGGCGCGCACGTACTCACCGGCATGGTGTACACCGTCCTCAAGGTCCACCGAAGTAAGTCCTCAGGGCCCACAGAGGCCTGGGTGCTGGGGATGGAGGAGTTGGGGGGGTCCCATGCTTGGCCCGGGTGAGCAGAACCTAGGGGAGGGACGAGTTTTCTGAGTTCTTGGCCAGCTTAGGGGGCATTGTGAATCCCGTTTCATCCCCAATGCCAAAAAATGGCGCCTCCCAGCCTAACACCCACCCCCATGTCCAGAGCCCATGTTGAAGATGCCCCGGGACCACATCCAGGAGTTCCTGCATGTGCTCCTTCCCCAGTGCCTGGCTCTCTTGATCTGGTGTCCTGTGACTCTGAGCAGGGCTGAGCTTCCCCAGGCCCAGCAGACACAGGAAGGAGCCTGCTGTGCAGACCAGGCAGGCCCTGTCCTGCTGAGGGTGGTCCAAGCTGAGGCTGAGCCTCAGGGCCAGCAAGTGGGGGACAGGGCCAGGGTCAGGGGTTGCAGCAGAAACAAGGGTTGGAGCAGCCATGGTGGCTGCGCCATCCCTAGGGCTCCTCCTAGCCTGATGCCCACCCCCATGTCTAGAGCGCCTGCTGAAGATGTCCAGGGACCACATCCGGGAGTTCCTGCAGGTGACCCTGAAGCAGGCCTGGTCACTGAGCGAGGATGCGGTCATCAGGCAGCTGCGGGCCTCCATGCGTGAGCTGGGGAAGCTGCAGTGCCTCCTGCCTCCCGAAGGTGAGTCCAGCACACAGCCCTGTCCCATGCTCCCTTGGGGGAGTCAGTAGTGGGAGTGCCAGGCCCTGGCAGCCCCACCCAGGGACTCACCTCTTCCTAGTCCTCCTTGTCCTCCCTGGGCTCAGCAGTTCTGCTTTCAGGAGCTTCTGACAGCATGGCCTGGCGGGGCCTCGGGAAGCTTTCCTGGATCCTCCTGCGGGGTGGTCCAGCCGGCACTGGATCCCCTTCAGCCATCTGAGGACCCCTGGAAGGCCCAGGTGCCCTGAACCCAGTAGTGGGGGCCGAGTGCACTCCTGTGAGCAGGGTGGGCGCAGAGGCAGGCGCTGGGGCCCCCGAGGCAGAACCCAAGTGCAGCTGAGTGTTGGCTTTGCAGTCCTAGCCTTGGGCCAACAGAAGTCAGCAGGACCCAGAGCAGCGCTGGCCTCTGGGCTCTGTGGGCAGGGGTTCTTGTCCCCTGCTGACAAGGACCTGAGCACCTGGGTCCCCATGCAGAGCAGAGATGGCTTTGTCCCAGCTCTAGAGGCTGGCAGTGGGGGCCCAGGGGCAGCCTGTTCAGACACTGGGAAGTCCCCACTGTGCTTCCAGGTGCTGCCTCCCCTGGGTGCTCTTGAGACAGAAGCAATGACAGCCCAGTTTCACCGGGAAAGGGACAGTGGCCCAGGGGCAGAGGACACAGGGAACCCCTGCCACCTCTTTGGAAACCACATTCCCTGTCCCCGAGGGCCTGGCCAGACCCCATGTCTGCCCCACACCCCCAGCTCTCACCCCCATCATCTTAGGCTCAGTTCCCTTCCTACAATTCAGGAGGGACTCAGATGTGGGTAACTCAGCCAATGCACTGTTAGGGCCCAGGATTTCAGGTGGGGTAGGTGATGGGGTCCTGAGTTGGTGCCAGCAGTCTCCAGAGATGAGAGAGTGAGGTGGGGAGGTCAAGGCCTGTCCAGTCTGTGGGCTTTGGGGGAAGAACCAGAGGTGTCCCTGTCATTCCCATGGTCCAGGCTGCATGCACCATTCCTTCTGCGGCCAGCAGCCTGGAGGTGTCCTGAGCATCACACCGAGTGATGGGGACCCCAAGGGTCAGGTCAGGGCAGGCACCCTGTAGGCCAGATAGTGCCCGTGGAGAAACAAAACCCATCTGTTCTTTTTCCAGAAAAGCCAACCGAAGATGGCAGCCAGACCCTGCAGGTGCCGCCTGGCTCTCAGGAGCGTGCTCCCCCACCAGTGTCCCTCAAGACCATCGTTGAGCGCAAAGTCTGTCACCCTGCTGCTGCAGCTCCCCAGGAGCCAGCGGAGGCTTCAGCTTCTGTCCCCGGGGAGACCGGTCCTCTCGGATCTGCTGTCCAGGCGGAAACCAAGCAACACACCAAGGAGGAGAAGGGCAGTCGTGGCGAGAGCACCACCCAGCGCCACGGCCAGGGCTCCTCCATGGGGGCCTCAGGGTCAGGGGGCGCCGCCCACCTCTCGGGCCCACAGTGCTCCTGGCTGGACGAGCCAGGCCCCCTCCGGCGCTGGACTTCCCTGACCAAACTCAACGTGACCTTCCAAGATGACAACTCCGACTCTGAGGACGAGGAGTACTACAGCGGCCTGGAGAAGCAGGAAGAGGACGAAGAGGAGGAGGAAGAGGAGGAAGACCGGGCTGCTGAGTGTCCTGCGTCTCCCTGGCCAAAGCTGCTGCAGGACCTGAGATTCGTCCTGCCCGAGACAATTTTTGAAGAGGACGAGGAGGGAGGCTGTGAAGAGGGTGCCTCCCCAGAGCCCTCGTCCCCAGCCCTGTCTGTGAAGTCCTCAGAGTCTCTGCGTGGCCTGGGCCTCTCGGCCCCACAGAGCTTGCAGAGCAGGGGAGACCTGTCCCGATGGGCGGGCCTCCCAAATCTCAGCCCGCCTGTCAAAGGCGCTGATTTCTGGCCCCTGGAGCTGGGTGGCCAGCAGGGTCTCAGGGCCCCTCCCCCACCTGCCTCAGAGCCCCTGGATCCCGGGCCCATGCAGGCTGTACCAGCCCTGGGAGCAGGGCTGAAGACACCCTGCCTGCATGGGAGCCCCATGCACTCTGGGGACAGGCTGGAGCCTGCAGGAGCCAGCTCTGCGCTGGGAGACCAGGCGCATGTGCCCAGCCTGGCTCGAGGCCTCCTTGCTGCCCATTCCATGGAGGAGCTGGATGTGTGTGGGCACCTGGATGGGAAGAACAGCCCACCAGGTGTCCAGCTCAGACGGGCCAGAAGCTTAGCCTGTCTAAGCACAGCGGCCTCCCCGATGGACAAGGCTCCTCTCTGGAGCTCCTCTCCCCCATCCTGAGGCCTCACCCATGCTCATCTCGGCCAAGGAGGCTAGCTTGTCTATGCCCGCCGGCCTCCCTGATGGTCAAGGCTCCTCTCTGGAGCTCCTCTCTCCCTCCCTGAGCTGCCTCACCCTAGCTCAACTCGGCCAAAAGCCTAGCTTCTCTATGCCCGGCACCTCCCGACTGACAAGGCTCCTCTCTCTGGAGCTCCTCTCTCCCTCCCTGAGCTGCCTCACCCTAGCTCAACTCGGCCAGCATCTAGCTTCTCTTTGCCCGGCATCCTCCCTGATTGACAAGGCTCCTCTCTGGAGCTCCTCTCCCCCTACCTGAGCCGACCCTAGCTCAACTCGGCCAGCATCTAGCTTCTCTATGCCTGGTGGCCTCCCGAATTGACAAGGCTCCTCCTCTCTGGAGTTCCTCTCCCCCTTCCCTGAGCAGCCTCACCCTAGCTCATCTCGGCCAGAATCTAGCTTCTCTATGCCCAGCGGCCTCCCCGATTGACAAGGCTCCTCTCTGGAGCTCCTCTCCCCCTCCCTGAGCGGCCTCACCCCAAGCCAGCCCACTGCCACAGTTGCTATGGGCACCCTCAGAGCAGGAGATGATGTAGGACATGAACCCAGGCACCTGTGGGCTGCCACATACCCCTCCCGCCTTCGTGAGGGAACCCGGGAACTTCTGCCCCTTGTTGATTGTGCATTAAATTGTTTCAGAATGCATCTGATTTTGTGACCCCTGGAGCCGAGCTGCCACACAGGGTCCCTGAGTCCCTTGCAAGAGGCTGGAGGTGCCACAGCCTCCAGATGCAGTCAGACCCTGCTCAGGGTGCTCCATCACTTCCTGAGATTGACCTGTGCCCAGCGTGGACCAGGGGAGGACCAGAGGAGCAGCAATGGCTGGGTACATGTGGCCTTTGGGACAGTTCAGGAGTGTGGGCCCAGCCAAGGGACCAGGCCCATGATCACCTCTGTGCACTGTCCTGGGTGTGGGGGCACCAGGTTCCCACTCTTCTTCCCTCTTTGCCTTCTATCCTCCCTGCCCCATCTCACAATCGAGCATCTCATGGCCTGAGCCTGCGAGAGGACCCCAGGGCACTTCTGACCACAGACCAGGATGCCAGTGGGTGGAGGCAGCCCCAGAATGTCCAGGTGGTCCTGGTGGCACACCTGGCTGGACAGATGCCCACATGCCCTCTAGCAGCTCAGGCCTCCTGGGCTGCTGTCACAGTGGGTTCAGCTTCTCCAGGTCATGCTGTCACTAGGGGTCATTAGCATGGAGAATGTGTCCCCTGATGTTGGGAGAAGAGACTCCTGGCTCAGAGGCTCCTGGCCTGGAGCCTCCACAGGGAAGGAGTCTGGAACCCTACCTTGGGCAGAGAGAGCATCCCAGTTCTCCAAGGGTCCCTGACACTTGTAGCCTCTTCCTCAATCCACACAACCTCCAAAAGGAGACTGGGCCCTGTTCATCAGAAGCCACCTGGGTCATCCCAATGGGGCAGGTTAGGCCATAGCCATTTTCCCCTGGGTCTGGAAGGCCCAGGATTCTCTAGCTGTTGAGTCTGTACTCCATTCTTGAATGAGCCATGGCTGTGTCAGTGGCAGGACCCCAAGGGCTCAGAATCGCTGGTCCCCACAGGGTGCTTTTTGCAGAATCACGCTGAGGCCAGAAGCTGACAAGATAGAGGGTGACAAGTGGCTACTGTGCTGATGACTCATCTCTCCAGGCTGGGGAGCCACAGCCATGGGCCAGTCCTGAGCCTGCTCCTGTTCTCCAGTGCTCAGGGCTGGTCTTCTTGTTCCTGGGAACCATAAGGCCATATTTTGGACTTTTCACCTGCTGCTTCTGCTCCTTATCTGGGGGAAGATGTGAGCCTGATGATGAGCTTGCAGGCAAGGTTGCTACAGGGCAGGTGAAGTGGATGGGAAGGCCCCTGTCCAGGTCAAGCCTGTGCTGTGCTCCCTGCTCTGCCCTGGCTTCCTGGGTGGACCGCAGTGTACTCAGAGATGTGCAGGCAGTCCACCTGTCCAGGCGCAAGCCCTAAACAGTGTTACTAATGGGAACACACACCTAGAGACTTTCCTGGTGCCTATGGCCTCGAACCATCCTCCCCTGGTCAGCCATGTGCAGGGTGACCTGCAGGCATCCGTCTCCATTGAAAGCCACCTGCCTTTGGTGACAGTCCTTTGCCCTCTCCTGGAATGGAGATTTCACAAACCTGGTGCTCTTTCTTAAGATTTTCTCCTTTGTATCACTTTGCTTTCTTGTCAAAAGTCTGATAACTGTATTCCTGAAGGTCTCTTCCGGGGTTACCATTCTGACTCTCACCAGTCCCACACTGCCATGATTGGCTGTCTCATAAGTTAGTGAAGCAGTGACACGTCAGTCCTCCAGTGTGTTCATCTTCAATTATGGGAGGTGGGATCTTCGGGGTATCTTCATCCCCACATACATTTTAAAATCAGTTTGGTAATTGTAAAACACGTTGATAGGATTTTTTTTAAAGATTTATTTCAAAGAGTTACGCAGAGAGAGAGAGAAAGAGGTCTTCCATCTGCTGGTTCACTCCCCAATTTGCCACAACAGCTGGAACTGTGCTGAAGCCAGGAGCCCCAACCTTCATCTGATTCTCCCATACAGATGGTAGGGGCCCAAGCACTTGGGCCACCATCTACTGCTTTCCCACGCCAGAGTAGAGAGCTAGATTGGAAGAAGAGCAGCCAGGACTTGAAGCAGTGCCTATATGGAATGCCAGCACCCGCTACGCCACAGCACTGGCCCTGTTGATAGGATTTTGATTAAGACTGCGTTGGTCTATCAAGTGAAGAAACACAGCTATCTGGGCTAGATTGAGTCTTCCAATCCATGACCATAGAATGTGTCTCCAAAGGTTTAATTCTTCCTTGAGACTTTTTTAGGAGCTTTGTGGTGATCCTCATAGAGATTTTGCATATTTTGTTGCAAGTATACCTAGATGTTTCTTTTGTTTTGCTACAGAACCTTTTTTTTTTATTTCCATGCATAGTTTTCTCATTAGATTCATTTTACAAGAGCCCTCATATGTAGTGCAGTTCTTTTCTCATGTGCTGCTCTACACATCTCAGTTCTGACTTGGTCCTGCTCATGCACTTGCTCATCTTTTTCTCGACACACACACACACACACACACACACACCCTCTTTCCTTCCTCTAGATTCACCATGGTGCCTCCCTGCATCGTAAGTAAAACAAAACAACCACAAAAGTCAAAAACACACCCTCCTGTCTCCTGAGCAGACTAAAACATCTGTTTCAATACACACGATGCCAAGCAAGATTACAGAAGCTGAAGAATGAATCTTCTGTCTCCAACAGATGCTCAAGAAGCAAGAAGTGGGGTAATGTTTTTAAGAGAAGGAGAGAGACTGAGAGAGACCTTTCATCCACTGGTTCACTCCCCCAGTGGCTACAACGGCCAGAGCTGGCCCAATCCGAAGCCAAGAGCCTGGAGCTTCTTCTAGTCTCCCATGTGGGCGCAGGGGCTCAGGGACTTGGGCCATCTGCTGCTGGCTTCCCTGGTGCATTAACAGGGAGCTGGATCAGAAGTGGAGCAGCTGGTATACAAACCGGCTCCCACATGGGATGCTGGCGCTACAGGTTGCAGCTTAACCCTGTGGACCACAGTTTCAGCCTGGGTAATTAGTTGTTTTAAGCTATGACCACCAAAGGAGACTGCTGGCCAATCCCACTTAGATGAATAGGAAATAGGAAATACGAAATGTTCACCAAGTGTCCCTATTGGCTACCACACCAGGTGTGTGACCCTGGGAAACTGAATGTTACCTGTCTGGGCTTATAAAATGGGATGATAAACAGATTAATTGTAGGACCTTTATGAGAGTGAAATGGAAAAAGGCACCCATCCCCCCCTATTTTTTTTAAGATGTATCTATATTTGAGAGGCAGAGTTACAAAGAGGCAGAGGCAGATAGAGACAGAGAGAGGTCTTCCATCTGCTGGTTCACTCCCCAGATGGCTTCAATAGCCGGAGCTGTGCCAATCCAAAGCCAGGATCCAGGAGCAGCTTCCTGGTCTCCCACACGGGTACAGGGGCCCAAGGACTTGGGCCATCTTTCTACTGCTTTCCCAGGCCATCGCAGAGAGCTAGATCAGAAATGAAGCATCCAGGATATGAAATGGTACCAATATGGGATGCCCGCACTGCAGGCATCACTGGCCCCAGCCCCCATCTCGTGTACAGGTAGTGCTAGATGTCACAATTTTTGTTTCTGAGCTTAAAAGAATGCTGAGTTTACTGTTACGGGAAAAACGGAATCAACATATGTTTCACAATTTACATTGCAGATCTGCTGCTCTTTTGACAATGTGGTTAATATTTTCAAGTGCAGGAATGTTGGCCCCTCTGGGTTTGTATGGGCATTCGCTTGAGGTGGTGAGGAGGGTTTTCCATTTCCCTAAGACAGCACAAGGGAGCCATGGGCCGCGTTCAACCTAATGCGTCGAGCAATCTGTCCTGTGCTTTACTCTTCTACAAAATGAAATGTGAATGCTTGAAAGATCATTTACATGTGGCCTACTAGTTATTTAAGAAAACAACCATTAAACATATTGAGTTAATTAACAGTGCGCACACGATTAACAATGCTTTTTCAACACTAGACGTTAATGGAGTAGATGTCAAATAAATGTAATCCTGCACTTGAGTTAGAATTTCTTTGTTAATTATATTCATTTACAAATTTAAAACAATAATCGCATTCGTTTGAATTAAAACAAGGGATTTTAAAAGCGGAAATAACCAAGGGGGTCTTGGCCCTAGGGACAGACTATAATGGATTAACCTTATTTTCCATCCCCAACAGAGGCCAGAGTAATTACGGACAAAAAAATGACCCGCTACACTCAGGGCTGTCCACAATGGACTCATCCAACCCTTCCGTAAGCATAACTTGTTTTCAGGCTAACTCGCTTGCTAGCATCCAACAGAATGGAATCATTCTGCAGCTGTGACTCATGTGCCCTTCCCTGGATCTGAGTCCTGCGTTGATCCCATGATACAACACACACTCTAAATGAGACACACTGGACACGTCACGTGAACCCTCTCCGGGTAGCCCTAGGCTATCTGGTCTCAGGTCACAGAACCCATACCCACGGCAACATTTCACCATCTCAGGACTGTTCCAAGATCATTGGAGTCTTTTTCCACGGGTGGTGACCCAGACACCAGTGCAACAGGGGCATCTGAGGTCATATAGACGTCTCTGCAGTGTCTACTGAGCCACAGGCATAGGAAACATCCTCATTAAAAGCAGCCCAGTCCAGGGTAAACTTGGACAGATCAGTTCCAACACTTGGGAGCTGAGTGGTCTTGGGCAAGATTACATGCCTCAATGTTTCTAAACTTGTAAAATGGGAATCGTATGCTATCATCTACTTCATAGAGCTATGTTGAGGGTTGAAAGGAGATAATCCCTTAAATGTTAACTCCTTGCATTCGTTCTGAATGTGTTTCAGCCCTCAGAATGCAGACAGCTGCAGCGGGTTCATTCAATGTGGAAGGGATCAAGGAAGGAAAGAAAGGAAGAGAGGGGGACATTTCAATGCTTTTGTTGACTGTCCCATGGATCTTCACCCAACAGTAAGAGAAGCTCTCGCTAAAGACAAGAAGTCAAAGGGAAGCAAACAGTGCTAGTTACCACTGAAATCTGGGTTTGGCTCCCAGAGCGTTAGCACGGGAAGGGGGCTGTGGCCGGGAGGGCAATTGGTGTTGATCACCTATATCAAACTTGGCCTTGTGTTTGGTGTTTTACTCAGACTTTTTCTCTTTCTCATGGTTGGTGGGTTTCAAGGCTCTGATATGAACCCATGTCTCTGACTCCATCTCTGATACAGAGCTCCAGAGACTGACATCTAGAGTGAGTCTAGTCCCTGTCAAGTCTCCTTTTGCCTTTTGGGTCTGTTTGCTTCCTGAGACATGGACTCTCCATCCTGTTGGCTATCAGCCTCCTCCATGTGTATCCCTATGTCACAAGGCTCCAGGGGGAGGTTGTTTGACTGCTTGTCCTGGGTGAAAAATCAGAAGTGACCTTGAGTAGACCTCCGTGTGCCAGGTGCCCCCAGACTCAAAACAGTGCATTCATTTGCTTTTTGCTTTGTGCTTTTCTGTTCAGACTGTAGCAGCCTTTAGGATCTCTGTCC